TACATGCCCAAATCATGACATTTGTTGGATTTTTAGTAGTTGCTTCAATGCAATCAGGATGAAGCGCTTCACCTACTCTACGTCTCACGTATTTTCTACCATCACTTCCAAAGAGCGATATTTTACTCTCATCACTCCAGATTACTTGCTTCCATTGATTTTCTGACCATTTAAAGTGTTCTTTTGCCGACTTAACTCGTTTTTCGCTTTGCTTTTGGTTTAAATATGGTTTGGGGGCCAAGACATGACTTGAAGGTCCCTGGGATGTTTTTCCACGATTCGACCTTTATGACATTGTGCAATATCCTGTTGGTAAACACAATCTCCCGCTGGAAAAACTGTTGCCATGAATGGGTGAACCTGGTCTGCAACTATGTTCAAGTAGCTTACAGACGTCAGGGAATGTTCTATGAGGATTATGGGTCCTAATGTGCCCCATGAAAACATTGTTCCTGGGCGAGAAACCATGAAAACCTGGGCGTGCCCATTTTTATAGATGGATGGTGGTCTTAATGTAATGGCTCTTCGGTGTATATATATATATTTTACTATTTTATTTAATAACAGTTGGAAAAATTTTGAATTGTATGGTATAAAATTTTTTACATCATTTTAAAGCTTTAAATATTACATGGCAAAATCCAAATTTTAGTGAAAATGGTTGAACAGTTCCTGAGAAATTTAATATTATGTATACCACTTTTCCGAAATTCGGATTCTCAAAAAAAAAAGGAACTATTCCACCAATTTTGCACTAATTATGTATTTTGCCATGCGAAATTATTTTCTTTAAGTGATGTAAAGGAGTGTATACCTTAAAATTCAAAATGTTTTCAAATATTATTAAATAAAATAATAAAAAATAATAAGTTTTTACTTTGGATAACCGAAACGAATTTTATAATTGCGTGCAATTTTTTTTCTTCAATTCTGGGGATATGGCGAATTACTCAAAAAGTAAAATTAACATTAAAGTGTCCAAACTTTGGATCGCTCTCCTGAGCAAATTATGGGGACCATATTTCCCAGAGTGTAGCTAAAACTAAACTAAACTCAGCGGCGCGACAGCTCATAATGGCCAAGGCCTACTGTGCCCATCTCAGTTTTCTTGACCTTGGGCTCTGGGGTGCAGGAGCAGATGTTCCGGTCAGGTTGTCAGCCGAACGTGAAACCCCCAGTGTTTAGTTCTCAAGCATGCTTGGTACTCATTTATCAACCCACTGAAGGGATGAAAGGCTGAGTCATCCTTACCCGGCCCGAGGATCGAACCAGGTACCTGTGGCACGACAGCGCGAAGCGCTACCGCTCAGCCACCGGGAGTCCCAGACTGTAGCTACCTCCTATATTTTGTAGGTAAGAAACCCTAATCCATCAAAAAAGCGTATTTATTCAGAGAAAGTACGTTTTGGGTCTCATTTCGTAAATTAAAATATCGCCTGATGTAATTAATTAGCATATTTCAAGACACCTCCTCGAACCATTGAGAATGAGTCATGAAACGTGAAGATCATTAGATCAGAAGTTATTGCGGGTGGTCCTTTTTTTGGCACAGTGTGCATTAAATGCAACGATAAACGAAAGTGGTGAATAAAATTCGTTCCGATGATGAGCAATACCTAAACCAGTCACCAATCGTACTATTCTTTATAAAGAGAAAATATTTATGATTTTCGATTTTAAATAAGATATATTAGAACGTATATAATTTTTATCATAATGCTAGTTAAAATCAAAGCTAAATGACATAAAATGATTGATACTTAAATTTTATTGTAATTAGTTTATCTTAAATAATTTTTTTCATGAAAGATGAAGAAACTGACATTTATTTTCTCACGCCAAAAAGAATGCATTCATATAAAAAGTAGCAAAAAGTATAAAAATATATAGTAAGAAAGAAATTCTTGTAAAATTTTTTTACTCTATAGTTAAGACATCTCAGAATTATGTTTAATAAAAAAACATAATTCTGAGTAATGAAATGAAAATATATGGCATTTGAATCATTCATCTGGTAATTTCTCCGTTCATATGGTAACGATTAAAAAAATAGTTCTTTGTAGACATGGTTTTGTAGTTCTTATTGTTCTTCATATTACCACACATTTAGAAAGAAAAACAATAATGAAAGTTACATCACGGTAAAAAACTTACTGTAGTTTCATTTTTGCTACTGTTATCTTTGTTTCTTGTTCTAATATTATTTTTTATCGTTTGTTTTTCTGTCAACAGTTGTCGTCTAATCTGTCGTCCAATTAAAAGAAAACAAGACGGTAAGAATACATTTAATGATAAAATGAGTTTTACGGATAATTCACCTAAACTGTCTATACTTTATACCGTAATTTGAACCCAGGTGTTTAACTGTGTAACCAAAAATCGTATTCTCTTATTCAATCAAAAATTTATTCTCTTATTTTGGAGCTAAATATAATTTATTCCAATTTAAAAATATTACTATAAATGTATTGTTAACGGATTGAACGTCAAAGTGGCAATCAGAAATTTAAATTTTACACTTGTTTTTTTACAATATGAATGAATTTTTTTCATATATATTTATGAGTGTATTCATACTTAAAACTGATGTTCAGGCTAAGATGCATAATTACATAATATTTTTTGACAAAAAAATTTCCTGCGCCAAGTGCAAAAAATGAAGAAAAAAAAGAGAAATTATCGTGGTTCATTTTTATAAATGTATTTTAGTTGTTTCTTTAATATTTATATCGTTCAGATACAAGTGCGAAATTGAAAACCTCTTTATTTATAATAATAGGAGATATATTGAGTTTTTAAATGATTTAAGCCTAAATATTTCGGTTGGTAGAATGATCGTTTTCCAGAAATTTTTAAAATGTTTCCGGTCCCCACTGTCGACGGAAAATACGCAATTGGCAAACAGATTTAAGTTCCATGGACTAAACACAAAAGGCCCTTTCCTGCAAAGAATAAAAAAACAGATGAGATTCATCAACAAAATTTTAAACAACCATTATTTGCCCCAATAGTTTCCTTATGCCTATCATTATCTACTGAGTTTATTTCTTGCTACTAGGCTGGAAAAATAAAATAAAAAGTGTTCATGCCTCAAATTTTATTCCATGGGGTACATTATAAAATATCTCGGTAAACATGGCGCTAAAATGTACTAGCATTTTGGGTGCATCATCCATAAAATCCATTTTTACCTTAAAATATTATGTCGTAAATTTTACAGAAATATTCATTTGCTGACTGTAATCATTACTGTAAAAATAATGGTAAATCAGAATTTTTGTTTCGTAAGATGAACCGTTAGAAATTGATTTTGCGGTACGCATTTTTATCCGGAAAAAATGGATTTTACCTGTAATTTTGCAGTAATTTGTCCCAGAATTTTTTGCAGTGTCTGCTTATCGTTCACGGTTATGGAATAAAATAAAATATCTATATTTTGAGATTAACTATTTTTTAGAGTAAACTCTATTTTTTTTAATGTATAAAAACTAATGTAATTGCGAGCTCAAGTTAGAAAGAAAAGCAAAACAAGATTACCTTTCTCATCTTCTGGACTCAGCTGAACAATAGCAGCTAAAGAAACAGACAGCAAACTTGCGAAGAACAGACGAATCTTCATGGTTCTGAGCCTAAATTTTATAATTAAACAAGTCCAGATATCGTATTTTAAATTATCTTCTTTTCAACGCCATTTTATAATCACTTATGGGAAACCACCCTGCTGTTGCTGATTAGGATATCATAAAAAAAAGGATTCAAATTATTTGTTTAGAAGTCACGAAATATTAATGATAAATATCAAATGTTCTTGAATTTTAACATTTCAAATTGCATAAAACTGATTTATCATTTTAATTACATGAATTTCAATTACAATTGTTGACACAATTGGTGTATTAAAAAATAATGTTTACAGCTGCAGCAAAATTCATTCGGAATGTATCATGAAAATTTGCATAAATTGAATAACATAATTTCTTTTTCCTTTGTTTCGTTTTTTTAACCAGGATGAACTTTGATTTTGAACCACCATTCTCATTTTATTGAATGAAACTGTGTAAAAAGAGGATGGATATAAAATCAAATATATTGCGCTTATAGAAATTGTGTAGCATTTCTTTTTGTGTGTACTAGTGTACTATTTTACATTTTTAAAAATACGATAAGATGCAATGCATCAAAATATAAGTATTTTTTTTTAATTTCCAATTTCTATTTATCGTTAACTTAATGAACGAAAACATTAATTTGTAAGAAACTTCGTCTATTGTGACCGTCAGCATGGTGTGGGTAGAGACAAGGGTATATTAACAGAAATTTATAAAAGTGTTAAGCAAGAATATTTTTCTCACATAAATTAGGAAATTAACATTTATTGCACTTTCAGTAGATTTCAAAACACTGAAATGTAAAATATCACCACCCACATATATTAAAAATGGCCTAATGAGAGTTTGTCCAATTTCTCATAAGATTTTCCGTCCAAAACTATACCTTTGAGATTTTATAATCAGTATTCCAGAAAAACAATCTACGATCATACACTATTCTATTTTATATATGTTAAATTTACTGCATTTCTATAAATCTCAAGATTTGGCATGATTAAAATCGGCTTGCTTAAATTAATTAAAAAAAGTAAAATTAAAATATAGTTTTTCCTCTTCTCACGATTCTCTCATTTCTTGAATATATTCAAAATTCTAACAACTCTTTCTCGAAACTATCCTTCCTTTTGAATAATGTCAATAAGTTACTATTAAATAATTCATATTGAACTTGAAACTATATATAATTTGCAGCAAAACCTCTGTAAATAACAAACTTAAAACTTCTGGAGCAGATAATTCTTCCAGAAATGGAAAAGGTAGGACAATTAATAAATGTCTATTATATTATTCTTACATATTTTATTTCTTTTTATAAAATAAACTATATTTAATGAATGTTTAAAAAATTTATATGGATAGAAATAAAGTAGAAGAGATTAGGGTTAATTTTCTCATATGTAGTTGCACCAAATCCCATTTATTGTTTTTTTTTATTTTCGTTTTCAATTGCTTTTATAAAAAAAATTATAAATTATGCAAAAATAATAAAAATATATATTTTTATTTTGTTAGTTAACATTTCTTGTACAGTTGTAAGAATTTTTAACAATTGTACATTGCATTGATTCTATCGATATCACTTTTGGTCATTCCTCTCTTGTTATAGGGGTCTAACAATCGCTGTCCGTTCATAGCCTCCATGGTGTTTTGTCCGTTCTTAGAGAATGCTGTGTTTCCGTAGATCATAATGGAATCATAGTCGAATTCATTGTACAAAATGTTTTGGTATGGATCAAGCTTGAAAAAGTTAAATTGCGCACCTGTATAGAGAAAAGTAAATATTAAAAGCTTTAGTTGTGATTACATTTAGTATGCCAAAAAATTTAATTGATTATTCATAGATTTGACAACAGAAAAAAAAGTTTTAAATTAATAAAAATAAGTATTTAGGTAGATCAAAAGTTTGAAAAATTAAATATTTTTCTAACCGAAATTATTCATTTTAAGAAGTTTCGATAATTTAATCAAAAGAAAAGTATTATGAAAAAGTAAAATATTTTAATAAAAATGTTTTTTTTTCTATTCATTTAAATTTAAGCATTTGTTAAATTTCTATAAAACTGCAGTTTGAAATATAACTATTGTTGGTAATAATTGTACAAAATACACTTTTTGTAAAAATTATAATAATGGTAATTGAGGTGAATTCTATTAAGCAATTAATATGAACCCGTATACCTTTAAATTTGATTTAAAGTTCAACGATATATTTTAAAGAAATATTTTAATTGCTCTGTAGAAAATGCATTATCACAACAGCTCATTGTATATTAAGAGGTCAATGTTGTTGAGGCTCCACAATTTCATGATTGAAGGCATGATTGTAATACTGTAGTCAGCATGCCGTCACATTTCCCCGAATTCATTGACCACAAGGTGGGTGGTGCTTGTAGCAGAACTCTGGGATCGAATCCCACTATTTTACAATGTCAGTTCGTCGTCGTAAACACTAAGTCGAAATATTTTTTGCGCTTTGAAATAATAATGGAAATATTGAATGGATAACTATTACATGATGACCAACTTCTAGCAACGACAATTTATTTATCCTACTAGTAAAAAAAAGATATTTAAGAAGAAACCCAAAATAATTTTAATCAAAATTGCAAATACTCACTCGCGAATGCGTTTTCGAGATAGATGTTCAAATATGAATCTCTGTCTGATCTGCTCTGCTCGTGGTAGAATCCAAGGGCGTGTCCCAACTCATGAACAACTGTGCCCGCATAGTGGCATCCTTGACCAAGAGATAAATCTTGTGAACCACCAATTGTACCAACTTGAGAATAGCACCTATTTTTTTAAGAATCAAAATTAAGATAAAATGCTCTTTGAGTAAAATAAGAAAAAATATTTTACTTTTGCTCTTCAACATTTTTTACAATACCAGACTTTAAAAATCAAGGTATGCTGTTTGCAAGACGTTTCATAATCTATGAATGTAACAAGTATTTTTAATTTTTTTTGAAATATTGAATTCAAAACTAACCTCGCATTAAGAGTCCCAATTTGATGTTTATGGAAGAAGAAGAAATGAAATAACTTTAGTAACTTGTCGTATCGCTGCTTAAGAAAGTGGGGCTGAAATTAATTAATGAACTTAGAGGCGCTTCCTCCAGAAATGAAATATGTTGTAACGAATTCAGCTCCGTTTTACCTCTTCAACGATCTGCTGAACTTCCGTTAGCATTTTTGTTTCTTTTCCCGTATTTTAATACTTTTTTTCGACTACCAGCGTAAATATTGTTAATCATTTCAATTTTTTTTAAAAAAATTAAATCTAAAGCAAAATCTAAAAATAGTGATTAGTGGACACCCTGCATATCTGATAGATTTTTTAAAATTATACGGAAAAAAAATCATAATTTCTAAATAAAAGAAAGGGCAAATAATCTGGATAATTTCTGATAATATTCACTTGCTAAGAGGCGACAGAAATCCCATAATAACATGCAATTGCATTGGAAATCATCATTGTTAAAAATAAAAACCATAAATTGGAAATTAAAATGATTAAAAACAAATTTATTTGTCAGATGGAATTTGAATGCGATCCAACTAATTCTTATTCTTGTAATTGGTGAATATTTTTACCTTTATTAAAAACAAAAAACAGTATGGTATTAGACAGCTGCTATTAGATTTAAAAGCAGCTTAATATTAAAAGTTCATTTTTAATTTGCCTAAACCACATTCCAAAATATATAATCGTTAATTGAAAGATATTCTATTTTATAACTGAAGATTTTCACTTATGATCTCATTTATTTTGGTTAGTATGGAAGATTATTGCTTTTCTAGTAAACAACAGGTTTATTGAACTTTATTAAAGGGGAACATTATTCCAATTCTTAAGAGTTAATATTCTGTTGTGAAGTCACGAAATATAAGTTAAAAATAAGTAGAGTGTTTTTAGAACCCAATGAATGTTCTCCCATTAATATAAATAAAAAATAACAAAGATAATCTTACCCATTTCCAAAAAACATCCTGACGTAGTCATGCTCATTTGTTCTGTAAACGAACTTCACGCAAGTGTGTTTGTGATAATCATCAATTCCTTCCTGAATAACTTTAAGTTTGTTACCTTCATAAAGAAAAATTTAAATGACTTTAAATTAACCTTGTGGAGCAATTTAATCAAATTAAAAAACGCTGATAACAATTAAGTATGAATTTTGTAACGATCAGTAATAATACTGACTTAATATAGGTTTTACAAGTGCATGCAATGGGAAAACCAAAATTAGTTTGTACAGTTAAAGGAAGGTTCAATCTAGGTTAAATAGTTGTTGAAATAGAGAAATTTATGTAAGATTTATGTGTTTCTGAGTATGCGCTATCATGTGCATTGAACTACTCAAATCATGTAAAACACATGACGTGATAGCTGTCTCTTAAGTACCTATTCGACTAAGATTATTGAATATTTAGCTTGGACGAATGTGACGGTACGAACTATTATAAAGTATTTCCTTTTTTGCAGTTTATTTTCAGAATTGTAAAATAAAATTGATTAAAACCTTTAATACTTTTAAATAATAATTACTAATAATACTAATAAATAATTACTAATAATTATTAATAAATAATTTAATTGATAATACTTTTAATTTACTTTTAAATTAATTGCAAATTTTTGAAAGAGAAATTTTTGAGTGCTAATTTCAAACTTATAAACTATATATTTCTGTTCAGATATACAAAATCTGGTATTTTAATTTCTTTACGATTTTCTCTTAAAGACATTATTTTGAAACATATTTAACACGAAATCTAAAATAGAAGTTCAGAAAATACACCATCATAAAAATATAGTTATTTCTTTATTATAAAATCCTTGACAATTAGATTTATTTAATTATATTTAGTTTTTATTTTATTTATTAATTTAATTTTTTGTAAATAATGTTTGCAGATCCTCTTTTTTTTAAAAACGAGTGTGAAGTTCATCATGTCAAAGTTGATAGTTTATCATTCTTCTTATATCCAAATTATCAAAAACTACCATGAATGTAATTTAAATGAATAAAATTAAAATCTTGGTGTAAACAAAGCATAAAGTATTATACTAGCATTAGTGTCGTGAGACGCAGAGGCTCACGGGATAGAAAATGTGCCTCCCAATGAGGTGAAACAGTTTTGAACCCCAGAGATGACTGGTTGATACGAATTCTACTCCCGGCTCGCACCGACCGCAGTGATGACATGAAATATCCTCAGTGGTAGACGGATCATCGGTTAGAATTTCCTTGTCGTCACCATAGAAGGTTTTCGTGTTTTTCGCCACGATGAAGCGCAAATGCGGGTTAGTTCAATAAAAAAGGGACAAAGCCAGTTTGTCCCAATACTTGATCTAGCAGCCCCTTATCTTTAGGGTTGAAATTAAAATTACAAAGCTACGGAGTTAAACATCGACAATCGTGAGCTTAGAATTGGGTGGGTTGATCAGCGCTGGTTATAAAATAAAATGTTAGCGACGTGACCCGTGGTGACTCGGATATAGCACTATATAAATTAGAATATATTAATGTTAAAATTCCCTTGCCGTCAACCGTCTGCGGTACTCGTAACTCAACTGTGACTTAGTTTCATCAAAGAGTCATCCATGAAGGCAAGTATATCACACTGCTTGTTGCTGGAGTTCCCTTGTATTCTGGGTAGGATTCAAAATTAAAGGGCTATAGAGTTTAACATTGAGAGTCGCAAGCTCAGAATTAGATTGGCCGATTATTAAATAAAATTAAATATTTGTACAGTGTTTGAAGCATGTATTTCAGGTTTCTAATTTTTTGGCTTAGAGCTTAATTTTTCTTTTTTGTAACTTCATCATTAAAATTAATTCTGAGTTAATAAAGTAAAAAAAGTTTTCTTTTTAAACTTTGATGAAAAAATCTAACTAACCTCAATAAATATTATAAAAATGATATTTGCATAGTAATTGTGAGAATTAGTGAGTGAGGCAAACAGAGGTCATCTCGTCATTATATTCAGTTCACGAAAAAAAACTTTTTCAATAAACTTTTTGAGGTTTGTTTTAATAGAAAATGAAATTATTATTTATTAAAATTCATCTTACAACTATCAGCATGTTATTATTGCATTATTACCTAACGATGATTCAACTACGTATTACGATGAATCAACTACATATTCTGTGTTAATAGAGTAAAAAAATCATTTTCTTTTTAAATTTTGACAAAAAAATCTAACTAACCTCAATAAATATTATAAAAATGATATTTGCATAGTAATCGTGAGAATTAGTGAGTGAGGCAAACAGAGGTCATCTCGACATTATATTCAGTTCATGAAAAAATACTTTTTCAATAAACTTTTTGAGGTAATAAACTTTTCAATAAACTTTCCAATAAACTTTTTAATAGAAAATGAAATTATTATTTGATAAAATTCCTCTCACAACTATCAGCATGTAAATATTGCATTATTACCTAACGATGAATCAATTACATATGGTACAGTTGCATTTGGCCATCTGAAATGAGATCCAACGATAGCACTTCGCTCAGAGTCCTAAAAAAAATTATTTCAATTTTCTTAAAATCACGTAATAATTCCAATTATTTTAAAGCGTTATTTGAAAAAAAAATGAATCTTAATAAACTAGTGTTTTCATCCTTCTAAGCTAGGTAATTGTAAGTAGCATACTTCTAAGCTAATTAACAAAATGAGGTACAATTGAATTTTAAGATTGAATACTTTATATTTTATACTGAAATTTACCATTAAGAATCCCTTTTTCATTTGTACAATTCCTTTTCTTTTTCATATCAGATAAAAATGAAGGTGAAATAATTTTGTTCATTATTGTTTTAAAAACAAAAATGCAATGAGCTAGAGATATTTGATTATTTCTAATATTTACACAGTAACTTTAACAGTGAAATGTATTTCAAAAAATTCAATTTATTTTCTAATTTTAGGTTAAAAAAATATCTTTTAAACTGTTGTACCAATTAAATTTGCAAAATTTTTTAATCATACTGCACTGTATTAAGAAAAAGTGCCCTGATACAATTTTTCGATAATTCTTTGCAAAACAATCTCTTAATTCTAAATATTACATCCATTTAACCCCACCGCCCACCGTTTACCGGGAAACCTCCCTTTTTCTTCGATTTAAATTTGATTTCGCTGGTGAATTTAATTATTATTAACTAAGAGATATTTATTTGATTTAGATGGGAAATAATTTTAACTTTTAAATTTCTTATGAAAAAATGCAGAAGGAAAATTTTATCAAATATGAACATTCAAACAAGGAAGGGTTTTAAACGGATTTTCTAATAATTGAAAGATAATAAAATATAATCATTTACTTATAACATTATAATATTTTTATCATAGTAATTTATAAATTTAAGCTGTTCAAATTAATTTTCAAAGTAAATTTGAGATGTTTAATTTAATTCAATGCTTCTCCTAAAGAAAAAAAAATTTTTTTTGTTATCTTATAAAATGTAAATAATGATTTAAACAAAAAAGAAATTTGGCTTAATATTTTAACTTTATAAACGATTATCTTTCATTGTAAAATCAATGCAATTGAAAGCGAAATCATTTTTCTTCAGTGAAATACTGATTTCATTTAATGGAAGATAAAAAAAATATAGCAAATTACAAATAAAATTATAATATTCATATTAGTATACTATTGAATTAAATTAAGGTATTTTATTTAATACCTTTCCTGGAGAAAAATACATTATTTATGTCATTTTTCTCATCGAANAATTTGCAAAATTTTTAAATTATACTGCGCTGAATTTGGAAAAAGCTCCCTGATACAATTTTTTGATAATTCTTGCGTAAAATAATCTCTTGATTCTAAAAATTACATTCATTTAATCCCACTACCCACCGTTTACCGGGAAACCTCCCATTTTCTTTGATTTAAATTTAATTTCGCTGATGGACTTAATTATAATTAATTAAGAGATATTTATTTGATTTAGAAGGGAAATAATTTTAACTTTTAAATTTCTTATGAAACAATGCAGAATGAAAATGCTATTAAATATAAACATCCTAACAAGGAAGGGATTTCAAAGACTTTTCTAATAATTGAAAGATAATGAAATATAATCATTTAATTATAACATTATAATATTTTTAACATATCATTTTATGAATTTAAGATATTCAATTAAGTAAATTTAAGATATTTAATTTAATTCAATACTGTTTCTAAAGAAAATGCATTTTTTTGTTATCTTACAAAAGGTAAATAATGATTCAAACAAAAGAGAAATTTGGTATAATGTTTTAACTTTATAAACGATTATCTTTCATTGTAAAATCAATGCAATTGAAAGCGAAATCATTTTTCTTCAGTGAAATACTGATTTCATTTAATGGAAGATAAAAAAAATATAGCAAATTACAAATAAAATTATAATATTCATATTAGTATACTATTGAATTAAATTAAGGTATTTTATTTAATACCTTTCCTGGAGAAAAATACATTATTTATGTCATTTTTCTCATCGAAAAAAAAACAGTTTGCTCAAAAAACTAGTTGCAAGGATTCATTTTTATAAGCGATAATTTCTCATTGTAAAATCAGTTGAAATCTCATGTAAAGACACAATATTTCAATGTTATGTTACTTCAGTTTTTAGATAGAAAGACGACGCAAGCGCTAATAACTAATAATAATAAATAACTAATTATGAAATCTATTTTTTTCTAGCAACTAAGAAAGTTTCATATAAAAATAATACTTACGAAGCGTCCATCAATACCAGCTATGTCACCTTCGAACAAGTCAGGATTTTGCAAAGCTGCTCTTGCCACTGAAATATAGTAATAATTAATTGTGTTGTCAGGTCTAATCTTATTTTCCAGGTAAAATATTCAAACATAATTCGTGGATATTGTTTCCATTTGCATAAATCGAGAATTCGCAGTTTTTGTTTTATCTCAGTTTCTTCATGTTGTATAGTCGAACAATAATTTATCTTTGCTAAGATCAAGAAAATTTAATACTTCAGGGGTAGGAAGCAAACACTAATAAAAAAACTACTATGTGTTGATAGTATCAATATGTATAGAATCGGTGAAATCAATACCAACGCAAATAATAAAACTAAAATGATTCCAAAGTATTTTTTTAAAATTTATTATTTCTTGCCGTTACATTTTCTTTACCAAGTAAAACACATATTTAAAAATGTATCCCATCGAAACAAAGATTACCTGCATTCAGTATGATTTGACGTTATGCTTTTGCTCTAGACAACTAATGATATTTAAAATTTATCACAATCAAGCTACTTTCTGGTGTACTTATACCTTTGAGGGGCCATGTAAAAACCAATTTACTCAATATCTATCATAGAATTGTGTGCTTTTAGTGCAGCTGTTATATGCATCAAAATTACTCATAAAATATTTTTTACCTACACGGAGAAAAAAAAATTCTTCCCATTATTAAGCTAATGCCATTATTAAGTTAAGCTCACAGGAATATTTCTCATTACCACACTTTTAAAAACAAAACAAAACAAAACAAAAAAGAAAATTAAATTTATCGAATAAATAAATTTTATGTCATGCTCTAAGGTATCATGATAAGATTACCAAATCTTACAACATTTATCAAATTTTATCACATATTATAAAACCATATTCTATTATTAACTTCACCAAATCTATTACCAAAGCACCAAATCATTTTGGTGTTACAATAAAGCCAGAAACACGGTAAATTCTGCCATATTCTGGTTGTTTTGATCATATTTTTTCCCATTATGAAACACAAGAGAACAGTTTCAAAACATGGAACATTAGAGAACCTTTGATATTTACAATAAAAACCGAACACTGGTTGAAGAAATAAAGTTATAATTTTTAAGCATTGTTCCTACTATGCTATTAATAGTTTAATAAATTATAAAGAAAATACTCAAGGATATGAAATGAAGAAAGAAAAAATTAGAATGGAAAAATTTATAATTCTGCAAATGAAATGTAATTAATTTGTTAAACAAAATAATGCATAATAATACATAAATATTAATTTATTTATTTTTATGTAAATTAATTAACACATTTATTAATGTTTTGATGTTAACTATTTTCGACTAAAAAAACCTTTAAAATGTGCGTAAATTCGACTCTAATACATTTTAGAATAATTTTATTATTTAATTTTGGCAGAAGTAATATTTTTAATAAAATTTTTAAAATTAGTTATTTAGTAAACGGAATAATAACTGTGAAGCTACTAAGGTAAAGTGGGTAAAAGTTTTCCTGCATAACATGCGTTAGATTGCAGGTAAGTTGTTCATAAAGGAAACCAATTTTTGTTTTAGGGATAAATTTTCATTCTATTATGAGAAAGTACTTACATTAAGCATTCTCAGAAAAGTGATTTTTCAATACTAATAGTATTTAATGCTATCATTTATTTTAATACGTATCTATACACCTACTATGCATTCTTTCCTTGATAAAAACATAATCGTTCAAGTTTATTTTCTTCTTTTATTTTCAATTTAAGTACTAATAAAAGCATTTACTAATAATCGTAATCTAGAAAATGATATTTAATTAGAGTGATTTGGTAAATTTACGGTAATTATTCCAGTTAGAATTATGATACATCATAAAGTACCGGTACTCTAAGTGCCGGTATCTTTTACCCTAAATTGATCTGGCTTATTTTTTATATTGAGCTAGTTTTTAGCTACAAACATGGGAAAACAAGACATTTTGTTACTTCAAATTATAAACCATGAGACATGCCGTCCATTAACGAAATTAAATAAAATATCTGTGTTTTAGAATTTACTATTTTTAAAGTAAAAAGCAGTTGCTCCAATTTAAATTTAAAAAATATATTTATTTAAGCTAATTTATTACAATTGAGAACTCAAGTATACCTCAGAACCAAAATATCATTACCTTCTTCATCTTCTGGACTCAGCTGAACAATAGCCGCTAAAGAAACAGACAGTAAACTTGCGAAGAACAGAATAATATTCATGGTTTCAGCGTGAATTTGAACTTCGTAATTAAGTTAGTGTAGATATGGGTTATTAAATTATCTTCTTTTCAGCGCGATTTTACAATCGATTATGGGAAACCACCCTGCTGTTGCTGATTAGGATATTGTATAAAAATAGTTCTAGTTAATGTTTTGGAAGTCGTGGAATATGAATAATAAATATTAACCGTTCTCGAGTCTTAACGTTTCAAATTGACTAAAACTGCTTGATCATTTCAATTTTATAAACTTGAATTAAAGTTATTTAAGCAATTGGTGTCTTAAAAACTCAAGTTTATAAATGTAAAATTCGCCTGGATTACCAGTGTTAACATGAATTAAATAACATAATTTTTTTTACCCAAGTTGAGCTTTCATTGTAATCTACAGGTCAAATTTTATTAAAACAAAACTTTGTAAAAAGTGGATATGGAAGTGTAGGCAAATATATTGCGGTTATGAAATTTCAATAATATTTATTTTTGAGTTACATATTTTAGTTTTTCACAAATATGGTAAAACGGGTGACATCGAAATACAAGTTTTTTTTCTTCAATTTATTATTTTTGATGTGTAGTAAACTTACTGAACAAAAAAAATCATTTATAAAAATTTTCTTTTATGTAGTCGTCAGCATAGTGTAGGAGTGGGGTATGATAACAGAAAACTGTCGAAGTGTTAAACAAGTTTCTAAGATTATATATTTATGTTATTATTAATAATATAAGGGAAAATACAAAATAATTAGATTTTTAACTTGCTTAAGATAATGTGTGAGCTTCCTACTCCTTATCTAACTTTGTAAATCATTGGATAAAGCTTTATGCAGATCTCATTTTTTTAATATTTATTTTCGAACAATACTTGAACTTTGGAACAACTGCTAAAAACCGAATTTTACTCTGGTTGGAAGTAACGGAAATGAGAGACCTTATACTTTGTCTTTTTAGGGAATGATACCTACATCTTGAGCATATTCAAAATTTTATCAACTCATCCTTGAAACTATTTACCTGAATAGTGACAGATTACTAATAAAAGATTAAGTTTAAACTTCAAACTGGAAACAACTTTCACCAACTCTACGCAGAGAGAAAGAAAAATATTATCAATACTATCAGAATGTTGCAAAACGTACCGTGTTTTAGACTTTATGGGAGCACCAAAAAGCTCGGTAATTTTCACTTTGGTTATGAGTTTGTTGAAATTAATAATAAAATATGGTTTTATAATATTTAACACAATTTGGTAAATATTCTAAAATTTGGTAATCTTATAATAATACCTTAAAAAAACATTTATTCGTTTAATTTTTTTCTTTTAATTTTGTATTTTTTACTAAATGTGTGGTAATAATAACTAATTTTGAAAACCAGAATTTCCGGTTAACATATGATTGGAAAAACTACCAAAATAAACTATTTGAATTCCGTATATTTTGGTTTTATTAATACCAGGTTACAGTTGATTTACCAGGTGACACGGCTCACATTCTTAAAACAGCTGGAATAGACAATTCTCGAACTAAAAATGAGTAAACGATAAAAAATTTCCTTTTGTATTTAAGCAGTCTAACGTTAACTCGAAGTGAAGGGAGGATTTGCACACTTTAAAAGTAGTTCCCTTTATCAGTTAAGTTTCTTTTTTATGAAACTAGTACAATGCACAGGCATCTTCAATTATCTATACCGATTTGCGTTTTCTGGAACTAAATATATACGTAAGTAACTAATAAATTTAAGAAAATAAAATAAGCTATAAAAGTTATAGACTTAGAATGAAAGAAAAAAATATTATAAAACGAAATTAAAAAAGTAAACTGATTTCTTGAACCAATTAGAAAGGATTACTAACAAGATATACGAATCAATATGGTAGTCATTTATCTTGAAAACATACTTCCTTACAGACACTTAATCCCATGAAATTTAAGAAAATTCCATTCACAATAGAGTACGAAGGTGGCTAACTTGTTGTCTGTAATGCCACCTGTCCTTAACATATTCAATTTATATAACTCTTTCGTTTGATCTCTGTAATACTGAAATTATCAACACTGTAACAAAGCATTGAAATACCTACTCGTGCAGATGTGGAACTGTTAATGTTATATAAGAAGTATAAGTTTTTCAATGTTCAATTGCGCGTTAAAAGTAATTCACTTTAAGTGCAATTTTTCAAGTAAGTAATTTTTTTAAAAGTATATTTAAGGAGAGTTTGAAAAAAATATATAGATTGAAAAAGGTAAAAGAGATTAAAGAAAATTTTATAGATATTACTTGCAAAAAATCCCATTTACCATGTATTGTTCTTTTTCCCTTTTCAATTATTTTTATTAAAAAAATTATAAATTATGAAGAAATAATAAAAATGTTTTTTTTTCTTATTTTATTACTTAACAGTTTTATTTCCTTTACAGTTTGAAACATTTTTAACATTTGTACATTGCATTTACTCTTTCTATATCACTTTTGGACATTTCTGTCTTGGTGTAAGGGTCTATCAACGCCTGCCCGTTTCTGGCCTCCATGGTGTTTTGTCCATTCTTAGAGAAAGCTGTGTTGCCGTAGATCATAATGGAATCATAGTCGAAGTCATTGTACAAAATGTTTTGGTATGGACTTAGCTTGAAAAAGTTATATTGCGCACCTGCATGGAAAAAAAGGTAAACATTTAAAGTTATAATTGTTTACATTAAATACGTTAACAAAATTTCATTAATGATACATGTATTTAACTACTAATAGATGAAGTAATAAAAATAACTTCTTTGGTAACCCAAAAGTTTGAAAAATTAAAAACTATATGGACATTATTTTTTACATTCAATATATTTTTTTAAGGAAATGTCCATAATTTTATTAAAACTAAAACAAAAATTAATGAATGAAAAATATATAAATAGTAAAATATTTTTTTAAAATTTTTATTAAATAAAGGTAATGTTTTTAATGTTTAAGATATTTTTTTTAATTTCGTTTTTTTAATCACAATTTAAAATTTAAATCATTTTAGCAATAATAGCATAAAAATTTCCTTTAATTTTGATGAATTTTAATGAATAATTAATATGAACACTTACAATTTTAATTTTAACCTAGAATTTAACCTGTCACTAAACATGAATCTAGTATTTTTTTTCTATAAATAAATCATTCCCATAACTGCCTATTGCAGATCAGAGGGTCATGGGGAATAGGCTTCACAATTTCATGACCAACGGTATTGTAATCAGCATTGCGCACAAGCTTTATTATTTCATTATTGCGCATTACCTTATATTTTTCAACTGAGCTACCACCCACCGATCTGAAATTGGGTGTACTTCAAGCCTCCATCAGGGATCAAACCCTGCTCCGTTGCAACAGCAGTTCAGCGTTGTAACCATTAGACCATCTAGGCTCAATTGTTTTGTAACAAATTATTCTTTGAGTATTTATATGAAAGACATTAAAATTCATGAGCTATAATTTAATTAAATATCTTTAATTCATGTATTAATTTATTAAGTAATCTAGCTCTTTATTACTTTGTTACTTTATTTAACTCTTGGCAATGACAATTTATTGTTTCTACAAAGAAAAAATAAATAAATAAAATAATTAAAAAGAAACCCAAAACAACCAAACATTCTAATACTTACTCACGTATGCATTTTCGAGATAGAGAATCAAATATGAATCTCTGTCTGATCTGCTTTGCTCGTGGTAGAATCCAAGGGCATGTCCCAACTCGTGAACAACAGTACCAACCTGGTGGCATCCTCGACCAAGAGACAAATCCTGTGGACCACCTACTCTACCCACTTGAGAATAACACCTATTTTTTAGAGACAAGATAATAAAGTAAGATAGGAAGGTTATATTTAAAGAACTGAAGGTTATATTTTCAATAATGAATTTCAATAATCGTTCATATTAACTGTCTCTTTGAACTGCACATATTAATTTATGTTTCAGCGGGATGTTTCATAAGCAACGAATGTTGCATGTCCTTTTATAATCCTTTTTCAAAATTGAATTAAAAAATTTACCAAACATTAAAAATAAAAGTTAATATACATAGAAGAAAACATGAAGTCGCTAAAGAAAACTTCATTGTTTAAGAAAAAGGAACTGAAAATTAAAAACAAGTTTGATTAAATGATGAACTTAAAGGTGTTTCCTACAGAAATAAAGCATGCTGTAATTATTTCAGTTCTGCTTCGCAGTAATGATATGTAAGATTTCATTTGCGCTTTTGTTTTTTTCTAAGCTTAAATATTTTTTTGAGACTAACAATATGTATATTGTTATAATTTTATTTTTGACAAACTTTAAAAAATATACTCTACAAGCAGTGATTTAGGAGTATATTTAATCATTTTTTTAAAAAAAATGATAAGGATAAATTGTACTTCTAAAATGAAAGAAAAAAATAAATAACTTTTAACTGGATAACTTTTAATGGTATTTACGCTGTAAAAAATTTACACCCAAATTTTACGAAATTTTCTTTGACGAAACTGTTTCCTGGCACATGCCCTAAATGAACAAATCGTCAAAATGACGAAATAACTATCAATACTTTAAGATGTGTAAGAAAACGAATTTCGTGAAAAGTAAAGCAATATTTCCTCAATCATTTGTTTGACTCCACATGTTGTTAGCCATTGTTAATTATTTCTTCGTGGGCACTATGTAAGTGTATTATCGTCACTCCAACAGCACAAGGACGGACAGAACCGGGATTTGAAACCGTGATCTTCCTTCTATGAGGGCCAACTCCTTGAGGTCGGTTTGGCTAATTTCGTCATTCTAGTTTCGATTGTCTAGTCTTCGCTCCAGTTAGCAATTTCCCACATGCTAAACGAACGATTGAAACTCCACAGAGACATGCAAACATATCATAAGTCAGATAGAGCAGCAAGTAAAAGGTTTTTTAAAATCTGAACCAAAGATTAAAATTTGAGATGAAAATGATTAAAGGCAAATTTCTTTTTCGGATGTAATTGTATTGTAATTCATTTAATTCTTATATAGTTAATTTTTTTTTCTTTTGTTTAAGAAACGAGCCATTATCGGAATGGAAACCAGTTTAATATTAAAAATGTATTTTTAATTTGCTTACACCAAAGTCTAACCTATACACTCCTTAATTGAAAAATCCTTTATTTCATTGCTGGAATTTTTCATTTGTGATCTTGATTATTTTAGTAGTAGCTGAAAATTAACTCTTTTTATAAAACAATTGGTTTATTGAACAGCAATTAGGTAGATTTCAATTTTAATTCATTTCTGCAGTAACGAAATATTAATTAAAAATAAGTACAGTTTTCTTATAATGTACATTAAAAATCCTCCTGTTAGTTTAAGAAAATAAAAAAGGAAGATCTCACCCAATTCCGTGAAACAGTCTGACATAGTCTGGCTCGTTTGTCCTGCGAACAAACTTCACACAAGTATGTTTGTGATATTCATCCATTCCTGCCTGAATAAGTTCAAGTCTGTTACCTTCATAAGCAAAGAATAAATTAATTGAAATGGGCGTAATGGAACAATGTCATCAAATTTTTAAAACAATGAAACATTTTAAACAATATAATTAATCATAAATTTGATTTCGATCAACTATAATAATGACTTATCATGGGATTCAATATTGATTTAGCATAAGTCTTAAAAGGGTGGATGGAAGAATTCGAATACCTCGATCTTGGTCCAATCGATCTAGGTCTGTTTGGGCAGTTAAATGTATGTTCAATCTGGATAGCTGCTGAGTTTTGCACAAATTTATGCAGGTTCAATACAGGCTGAGTGGTGGTTATCAGGTGATTTGAGCTTGTCTTGGCATGATGATGAAAGAGCCTAACATGATAATGGTCCGATAAGACTAAGATTCTCGGAAATTTGGTTTGATGGTAGCTTAAATTCTTTAACAACTAAGAAAAACGTTTTCTGTTCCTTTTCAAAGATTTTATAGAATTTTTTACATTTAAAAATGCGTGTGAATTTACGTGACAAAGTTAAAAACAATTCTTTCTTCCTACATCCAAAGTATCAAAAATCCCCATAGATATAATTTAACATATTGTTTACGGCTGGTACAATAAGTAAACCAGAATAGCTTCACAATGATAAGTACAGTAAGAGAAAGGTTAAATGAATATCATAGAAATAGTTGGGTAAATGAAGTATAAATTAGTTAATAGCATAATTTCAATACAAAATGATGTGGACATTTATTCAGAATTATGTAAAGTACTTTTAGAGTTTATTTACATTATATTTTCAAACTAAGGCATTTCAAAATAAGGGGCTAGACTTTGGTTTGAATAAACTAGAAAAAAGTTTTTGAGATAAAGAAAACGGTAACTAGTAATTGAAGTGAATTAGTTAAATTTTTTCTTATTAGAAATAACTTTATTAAAAAGACTTATAAGATACTATTTTGTGCAACATTTGTACTACATAAATTCAAATTTTTCTGGTCATAACAAAGATTTTTATCAGTGTAAAATTCATACAGTTGCCCTTTTAATTTCTTTTAGAAAAAGAATTATAACATCTTTATAACATAGCACCACCTATTTGCTTAAGACGCATAAAAAATTATATCTATGCTTATTTGAAAAAATAATAAAATCAAATTTTTGCTGTATGTCATTCTATAATAAAAAAAGAAAGAGTTAGGGTTTTTATGTCTGTGAGTAGTGAATAAAGTAGTAGTGAAAGTATAGTGAGTAGTGAATAAGAGTGAATAAGATTATTATTAATCTTAAAATTATCATAAAGCAAATAAAATATTGATTTATTACCTAGAGATGAATCAACGGCATATGGTACAGTTGCATTTGGCCATCTAAAATTGGATCCAACAATAGCACTTCGTTCAGGATCCTAAATAAAATTTAAATTTTCTTAGAGTCGCGCAATAAATGCAATTATTTTAAAATGTTACAAATAAATGTTATAAATTATCAAAGAAATTCAATTGTACTAAATTAGCGTTTTCCTCCTTCATGCTGACTCATGCGGAATTTACTATAAGGAAATAATTTTCAATTGTAAAATTCATTTTCATATCAAATAAAAATACAAGTGAAATAGTATTGTTCATAACTTATATAAAAATAATATGATAATCTGTTAAAAATTTTGTATTTGCCAAGATTTATGTTGTAGCTTTAAAACTGAAATATATTTAAAAATTATGAATGATTTATTTATATATTTATAAATGGTTATCTCCCATCGTAAAACTCATCGAAATAAGGGGAAAACTACCTTTTTCAGCACAATACTGATTCTATTTAATTAAAGGATAATAAAATATAATCAATGATATATAAAATTAAAATATTTTTGATATAGAATTGAATAAAATTAAGATATTTAATTCAATACCTTTCCTAAAGCAAAAACATTTTTTTAAGAATTTTTTTAGTAAAAATAATTTGTACAAAGACCAGGAATGGAAATTTAATTCTACAGACGATTATCTCTTAGTATAAAATCAACTGAAATAATCACAAAATAACTTTTCTTCAGTAAAATACTGATTATATTTAATTAAAGGAAAATGAAATATAGTCAGTTACTACTAAAATTAAAATGTTTTTTTAGCATATTATTAAATAAAAAAGATATTTTATCAAATACTTTTGCCGGGGAAAATCTTATTACTTATAAAACATTTCACAACCTAAAAAAATAGTTTACAAACAAAGCTAGATTTAAGAATTAAACTTTAAAAGTGATTATTTCTCATCATAAAATTAATTGAAATCTCAAGTAAAGACACTATATTTCAATTTTTATGCTACCTCAGTTTTTAAATAGAAAGATGATGCATTAAAATAATTAAAAATAAAAACTAGTTTTTTTTCCGCAATTATGAAGGTTTCATTTTTAATGTAAATAATACTCACAAAGGGCCCATCAATACCAACTATGTCACCTTCGTACAAATCAGGATTTTGCAAAGCTAATCTTGCCTCTGAAATATAATATTCATTAATTGAGTTGTCAGTTTTGTTTTATTTAATCTTAAGCTTAATCTCCACTATAATTTATTTAACCAGATTAAATATTTAAACATGGATATTCCTGATTCGTTCCATTTATATAAATTAGGTATTTCTGTTTTAATAGCCGAAAATGATAATTTATCTTTGTTGAGGTCATAATAATCCAATAAAATATTTATTGGAGGGAAAAAAATTAAAAAATAACAAATTTGTTGATACAATCAACGTGCTATACCTATATAATATTACAATTTACTTACATGTTTTGTGTACTGAAAAAAGTAAAGTCAAAACTACCAGAATGTGGTAAAATTTACAATGTTTCTGACTCTAGGGGGACACTAAAATTTGGGTACTGTTTACCAAAGCGCTTTGGTAATGATATTGGTAATATGTGAACAATAATTTTTTAATATGTGAACAAAATTTGTTAATTTTGGCAGTTTTATCACAATACTTTATGGTAGGTCATGAAAATCATTCATTCAGTCAAATTTACTTCTTATTTTTCTTATTTTTTACTAAATGTGTTGTAATAAGAACTATAATTGTAAAAAAAACAGAATTTCAGGTAAGTTCTTTCCATATAAACGAAAACCAATGAATGGTTTAAATACCATATATTTTGATTCTAATTATCAGAATTATGTTTTTTTACTTGAAATTTCATTACCATACAGAGCGGTAATTTTAACAGAGTTTTTTTTCTTTGTAGGTATATATAATTCATACATGTCAGGAAAATTTCATCGGTTTATTTTGTAAGTATACCCGTGTCCTTCAATCACTAATGGTTACGCGTATAATCAGAAATGGTCAGTTAATGAAAAAAATATTTTCTCAGAAATTTTTCAAAACTTTTGAAATGTTTTAAAATTTAAACAAAATAGTTAATAGTGCAATATATTATTCGTGCTAAAAAGTTTATTTTTACTATTCTTAAGCGATTTTGTTTTAAATTAATTTGAAATAATATTTAAAATAATGAATTTAATTGCACTTTTCAGTATAAATAATGATATTAGTGATGCTCCATATTTTGAAATAACTTTGCATTTAAATTTATAATTCCAATTTAAAACGGGTTTATTTCTGTCGAGAAATTTAATTGTCTGTTCACTATAAATAAGTTATTTAAAAGTTATGTGCATGTTAAATAAAATGTGTAGTAATAAAATTATTTCTTTGACGATTAATAAAAATTAATTGCTACTTGCAATACGCTTAAATAAAAAATATTAAATAATCAATAAAATTATCCATAACTACAGTTTTACTGTCATAAAAATGTATAGAATCTTAAGAGAATTATAATCTCAATAAAAGTTCTTTCTTCACCGTTTATCAGTCTTGAGAAATTTCAAAAATAAGATATGGGAACTTAAAAAAGTATTTCCAAAATTATATTTATATGAAAAAAAATATTTATTATTTTAATTAAGGATTATTTTAATTATATCTGTTTAATTCATCTTACACAATCCAAAAAAAATTCAATTGCAACTAAAATATTATAAATTTCCCATTTAAACTGATTATAAAAAGAAATCTACACATTATTTTCAATCCAACAATTTAACTTCTACACGCAGGTAGAAAAAACAATTTTGATGATTGATAATAAAAATTTTGTTTGTTAGATAATAGTGTTTAAATGATTAAGGATAAATTTCTTATATTCAAATATGAAATATTATTCAACTAAAAATATTATCCAAATAAAAAAATATTATTCAAACAAAAATATTGTGACAAAGGTTTGATGTTTATGCGTATATTAGTTAGGTAAATACATAAATTGTACTCAGTAAGTTATAACCTATTCTGCGGAGTTAGGATAATTATGCACCAGACTGTTTCCATGGAAACTAGTCAAAACCGCAATAGCGAGACTGAAATGTTCTTGAAAATGTTCTTGATAACATATGAAATGAATCCAATAAAGGATACGGTATACTTCATGCTATGTAGATTAAAGCAAATGCTAAATTGGATGTAGCACAATTAATAAAGCACTTTCACTAATGAAAATACATCAAGTAAATTTATATACTTTCATATGTGCGTTATTTACGTTGTTTTTTGCCACAGTATGAGATGAAATTGTGAAATCGTAGGATAGATAAAAGAGGCTACATTAGAGTATCTGTGTTTGAATAAGTTTACTTTACAATGTATCTGTTCTTCATATGTGTTGTTATTATTCGTAAATACACTATATTTGTATTCATTCATCAGTCTTGTTAATTAAAAAACCCATTTATAAAATCAAATGCAACATTATTTAACGTGATCAGAAAATTTAAATTCTAAATTTATTCTTCAGAATCCAAAACTTTTCCGATAGAATTGAGTTTTAAAATAGTTTTTAATTTTAAAAATGATTTAAATAATTTATTCGCAATTTCAGTCCAAAATTTCGACGTTACCCCTGATAGTTTTTGTAGCAAACAAAATAGTTTTCATTATTAATTTTTATATTATCTTTATAAAATAGGAAAGATTTTATGTACCACATTGTTCTACAGCAATCGTTTTAAGTTTTCCCAAAAGTTTAAAAACATTTTTAGTGTTTTACTTATTTATTAGAAAATATGAAGATTGAGATACCGTTTATTTTGCTTTAAAAGACTACCATCAATGACGATGGTCATATGAATAAAAATTTCAATAAGGTTTACTATCATAAAAAATAAGAAAGTACTAAAATATAATATTACCTTCTGCTTCCTCGGGACTTAGATGAATAACATCAGAAAAAGCAACGGCCAAAAAGCCAAAAAGATACAGACCAGACTTCATAGTTATTTGTCGAAAAGTGGAAATAAGGTGATAAACTTGTAATACTTTACTTGCTTATTTTAAATGTTTTCTAATCATATTTAATATCATGGGAAACGCCTGCTGCTATTGATTAAAGTAATATACCGGTATCTTAAATATCACTTTTTTGTTGTTTTCAGTATCTATCCATTTCAGCCCAAGATAATGTATTCAAAGAATATTTTGCTTCCTTCCTTATGCCTATGAAAATAGCTATTCAATTTCGTTTATGAAATTTATTGCTATATATATATATCAATAATATTCTTTTGAGTTTGTAACACAGAATAATTAAGTAAGTGTTTACTTGTTATATTATAAGAATTTTATTAGTAACTAGCTATAAGTGTTAGCATTTTTAAGTGTTTTTATTTGTAACTAGCTCCCTCTATGTTCAGGAAAATGATACAAAATGTGAGCATGAAAAATACAACGGTTTTAATTTGTGTCGAATTTTTTTAAAATTCAAATTTCAAATGATTGTGACATTATTTATCGAATTTATTTCTGTTTTAAACCATTGTTGCCATATCTGCATTTGTACTCGATTAACTGGCCACTGTGATGATAAAAAACGAATCATAAGTCCAAGTGCTTAGCAGGGATGGTCTTTTTATTTATCAAAATTGTCCAATTTTTAGAAGTGTACACATGTTGCCTTATATTGATGTCGAACCAACTAAGGTATAAAAATAAAAATAATGGATTCATGTAATGACACGAAGAAAGTGACAATAATTAAGGAACTTAACAGAACTTGAGTGAAATGTAAAAAAAATCAATGTACTACATTTTATTATTTTTTACATTTTGGTAACTTTCAAGTAAATTTTTAATAAAAAATTTTGTATTTAAAGAAGTTTTGTGAAATGTAAGAAACGTATCTAGTAGTGCAGATAGTACTTTTCATTAATTTTGTTGAATTAGAAAAAAGTTATGTTATTATTGTGCTATTATTTAAGAAATTTAAGTTTTTAGTTTGTAAGTTTTTGATCCCTTAAACTGAGCTTTAATTACTAATGCAGAATGAAGCACTATAAAGAAAACCAATAAGACTTACTCTGAATTCAATCAAAATTAAACTACCACGCGTGCTTTGGTAAAGGAGACTCATTTCCAGCAAATGCCCTAAGAGTAAAAAGCATTACATTTGATTTATTTATATTTTTGTAGAATTTATAATTTAAAACTATTGCTTATACTAAATTAATCATTAAAATTAAATATTTAGTAAATATTATTATAAATTTGATAATTTTAGTTAAATTGAAATTGTATAAATTTCATTAAGAGACCGATGTAAAACAAATTCATTTTATAAAAACTTACATTTATTGAGGGATTCTTAAAGGTTGGGGTGCGGAGAGAATGTTCTTTTCAATGTATTACACTTATAGTTGATTAGAGATTTTTATTGACAATTTTTATATTAATTTATTTGAAATTACAAATAAATTTTTGTATTATAGAGAGTTTCTTGAATTTTTTAATAAAAAATAATTGCGAAATTAATATTCGAGAAGAGACCTCTACACCCTAGTTTTTGTTTTCTTTAAATAAAAACGAATTAATATTTATAAAATATCTTAAAATTTTATCCGCTATACAAATAAATTAATTCTCTTTAATTTGATATAGTACTTTGCTTGGAGATTACTGGACTCAAGCTGTGCCTTTTTTTTATTAAATATCCCTTGACAAAAGAGCTTTCAATTTCAAAATTATTTGCCCTATACTTTTTGCTGAACATACGTTTCTAAATTATTACTTTATTCAGTGGCTAGAGACATTGTATTTATTATCCTTTTATTAACATTTTATTATCATTTTATTTATTTGCTCTAAGAATGAATGAATTTCCATTTCCACATGATTTTCCATTTTAACTGTTTCGATTGTGTTTTAGCAGTTCTGTTTAAGTATAAAGTTTAAAAAATTGTACCTAGATACTACAAATAAGACAAGAAAGTTACTTTTAAATGCTAAGAAAACCTGATCATAATAATAATAGTTAATTGCCAAGAAAAAATGTATATAAAATTGCTAATTATAACTATAAATAAATATGTGAAATAAATAATAAGAAGAAATAAAAAGAATAATAATAAGAAAAAAAACCTTAAATAGAAATTAAAATTGATGTTAACAACTTTTTGTTATAGTAAAAGCTTATTAGTCTACTACTTAGTCTATCATAAAAATATTGATATAATCATCGCTGAATCCTTAGTTTATGTTTTGTTTTTGAAACAAAAACGTCTACTTATTCATTAAAAGCCGAACATAATTTTTGAATCTAAAATCTATAACTGTAATGTAAAATAAAAATTCTAAGAATTCGTAACAGGTTTAATTATTGGAAGTTCATTTTTTAAATATGTGGAAACATTACTTTTCATTGTCCTAACGTCAAATTGCTTATGAGAAACTTTGTCAAAAAATTGCTTAAATAAAAATATCTCATACATGTAAAACATGTTATAGATGTTTAAACAAAAACGTCTATGTTCTCAGTATATGGACATAAATTATGAATAAAGTAAGCATGCGTATACTGAATTTAAGTATTTAAATTACATACTATGTAAAACAAATTCTTCATGGAATTATAGAAAGTTATTTAATTAATCATTTAAGATATCTGTAAAAGTGACATTGGATAGTAAATTTTAAATTATCTGTAAAATTCTTGATTTATATTTCTTTTCCAACTTTACTCTTAATTATACAGCATTCTTAAAATTAATTTTGGAGAAATAGAATGGTAAATTAAAAAAATGAAATGAAAAAAATCATTCCCTTTATAATTTATTAGTCACAGCATTGAAGCAATTGTAAAGTTTCTTAACAATTGTACATTTTGTTGACTCTTTCGATGTCATTTCTGGTCATTCCTTGCTTGTTGTAAGGGTCAGACAATTTCTGTCCATTTCTGGCCACCATGGTGTCTTTTCCGTTTGTGGAGAAAGATTTGTTGCCGTAAATCATGATGGAGTTGTAGTCAAAAGTATTGTACAAGACATTTTGGTGGGGTGAAAGCTTGTTGAAGTTAAATCTCATTTCTGTGTAATAAAGTAAAAGAAAACATTAGATTCATCGCTATTCTAAAATTTATGAAATTTCAAAATTGGATACATTACACATTTTTCTTTCTAATGTTTTACGGTAAGATAATTTTATTCATCAAGGGAGTTAAATATCTTTTATCATCTCATTCAAAGTATTTTCGGTTTACAATAAAAATGCTTGCACAATTATTGAGCAATTCTATCAGAAAAACTTATTTACAATATGATGGCTTAAATTAAAAATTAGCAATGCATGGAAGATATTTTATTTTATAACCGTCGTTAAACTGCTGACCCAATTTTTAGTTTACGACTACTAGAGGAAAAGGGAACTCCAAAATCAAGTATTAAGAGAAATTTAAGTTTGTTGAGGACATTTTGATAGAACTAATCCACATTTGCGTTACATGCAGAGGAAGTCCACGCAAACTTCTCACGGTTAGCTTGGCATCAAGGCGTCTCTAACCAGTAATCCTAATACCGCTGATGATGTATTACGTCAGCACTGTACTCGATGCAATCCGAGTACAGAATTCGTATCGATCAGCCATCATTGGGAATCGATCCCAGGCTACCTCATTGGGACTCTGCCGCTCTATCCCTTGATCCTATTAAAAATGTTCGAATAACAATTTGTTAAGTAGTGAATTTTTTTAAAAGTCTATATTTATTCTGAAACGAACTCCTCTCTCGCTTATATTTTAAGTAGTAACAAAAAATGCATTTTATATTATTTTTCCCTATATTAAGAAATACCTTTATCACGTTTATTATGTTGCGTAAAAAAAGTAAGTATTTCATTAAACATATGGCAAAAAAGTCATATGGTAAAAGAAGTGGAAAATGGCATGGTAAAAAATGGTCATATGGAAGAGAAAAAAACAATTGTTAAAGAATAATATAAACAAGTAAAATACTCACTTTCTGCGACGTTTTCAAGGTAGATGATCAAATATGAATCTCTGTCTGATCTGCTCTGCTCGTGGTAGAATCCAAGGGCGTGTCCCAACTCGTGGACGACTGTTCCTGCGTACAAGCATCCATTTCCAAGAGATACAGCTTGTTCACCATTGATTTTACCCACATAGGAATAGCACCTTTTTAAATTACATATGGAAATTTCATTATCCTAATTATCCTAATTTATTATCATAATTTATTCATTCAGTTTCAATGAACTGTTTATTTACAAGTGTATGACAAACAAAGGAGGGTAGAATATAAAATTATTAAGATTCGAATGTCACCCGTGTGGTGACCGGGTGTAAAAGAATGGTCCCAATGCAGCTCATGCATGTCGTAAAAGGCGACTAAAATGGGTACCCAGTGTCTGGGGGTATAACCGGGTACCCTGCCACTGGGGATTATATCAGGGGACTGGTCCTCCAGGTTGGGGGTTGGGCATAGGGTTGACACCTCTATCCTGTAAAATTTTCTTGCTTCGAAATCCTTAGAAGAAAACAAAGATAAATCGGAAGTCGTCATGGAGAAATCTTCAGAGGAAGGCTTTAGCTCACATTGGGCTGTCTGGCCAACTATGATGATGATGATGAAGATTCGAATGTCCAATGTGTGTATCCTTCCCCCGACATGCAGTTACATATCTCAATGGTAAACTAAATATAATCCGTTTATACGTAAAGTAGCATTTGCTTATAAAAATATGTGTCCTGGTAGTGGTGATGCGTTTTCAGCATTGTTGGCATTAAGGGTGCATAAATTTTGGTTTTAAGAAATATATATACTTTGTTATGGTTGGTATTAGAAATATATATATATACTTTGTCATTCCAAATTAAATCACCCGCAATGCCAAGAATTCCATAGCAATGCTTCACTGCTCTTCTGGCGCATATTGCTTTAAACATGCTGAAAAACGAAACAAGAATTCCATTAGAATGTGTTCTGTGTGACCAAGGGTGCCCACAATTAACATGTGCGGTATAGACCACAAATTTGATTAGTGTGAGTATTTTTGATTCTTTG